CTGTTGCCGTCGAAGGTACTGAAATAGGGGCAGTTCGATGATCCGGACCTACTCGGAGTCAACCTCTTTGAGCTTTTCGCCCCAAAGACTCGGGATTTCTGAACGGCCGGCAACCTGAAGTTGCCTGCTGAAGAGCAATGTTCGACGATTATGGTGGTGTATGTATTCAACAATTGTTGGCTGCACTAAAGAAGAAAAACAATTTGAAAAAGTTGCCAAATGCGCAAAGACTTTTCCGACAACCTAATACATAGATAGAAGTTCAGGAAGTTATCATGCAGCATAACGCGCCTTATCCCACGATAGCGCATGTTGTCATGCTCTTGGCCGAGCACCCACTGGGAACCCTGCAATAGATGAACATCCATTTTATCGCGACTTGTTTTTAATTTCTTTGATGATGTTCCCGTTTGGATCCCTCGACGGAGCAGTTGAGGTCAAAGAAAATAACATCATAGCACAAAACAATAAAGATTAGCGATGAATACAACCACACTCTCGGAGTATTGCCTACACAACGGTTTTGAGAGAAGGGGGAGGAGCCGGATAGTTTATGACGCGAGACAAGACCATGAACTAGCGGAGAGTCTCGTACACAAATACATGTGCACAGATGCAACATTTCCATTTGATCATGTTTCTCTTCATTATGAAGATGGTGGGTGCACAGGCTCGTGTTCTGTTAGCATTTGAGCGTACTCGTGACTACTGATATTTTGACAGCCCCGTTCCAAAACCTCCTAGTCGTCCACCGGTCCCTGGTTTGAAAGTGGGAAGTCAGCTACTTATTTTACATTGCTGTACATGTTCGTGCCATCGTCACTTCATCCCTACTCACTAGTTTACAGCTTAGCTTATCGGTCACCACTTTAACTTTCTCTCGACCGATTCTGGGCGGAAGTGGTGTAGTGACAAGTGGCGCGCTTACCACGCGAGCGGTCCGGGGATCAAATCCTGGGTCGTGAGTCGCCCGGGCCAACCAAGCCTTCCATCCCTCCGGGGTCGGTTAATTGGTACCAGACTTGTCTGGGAGGATAAAAACACTGACTTGTACATCGGCTGGCCCCCGCAAGTCATTGTATAGGCCACATCGCATTCAAACGCCACTACGAATGTACAAATGGAAGTAGAATGCGTGCCGCATCCCAAAAAGGGATTGATCAACGGCAAATGCTTTCCTTTATCCTTTATCCAACCGATTCTACAAAGTTTGTATGAAAAGTGTAGGTTCATATCAGCGTTTCATTCCCAAAGCATGCTCAAGTGTGTGATGTTTCGAGGTTTCTTCAACTTAGCCAGGGCTCCCCGCAAACCTCTTACATTTTTCATACTTCATCCGATCTTTTACCTAGGGTATCGCGCTTTTCTTTCAAAAAGGCAACCCTGTCAAGAAAAGCATACCACTTCATATTCTGCATGTAAAGCTTCAATTCATAATGCTCGTGATTTTCCCCATGTTATTATTTAACTTTTTTCCAATCCGCCTGATTAACTCCAAGGAGGGTACAATGAAGCCAGAGAAACCATTTAGATTGTGAGACATTTTTAAGCTGTTTACGGTTACGGAGAAATCAGTGTTTTGCATTTATGTAGCATCGGCCGAAAATAGACATTATGCAATCACGGCCAGGTGGGATTAGTGTTACTACTGCAGTTGGCGTGTAAACAATGCTGTAATGTCATGGGAATCTACAATTGATTTCAATTGACAATGTGTACTTGGTCGAGTATAAACCGTCACAATCACAATACCAATGTTGCCTCCTTTGACACCATTCTCTTCCTGCGTTCCTTCAACTTTCCCCTGTTGACATATGGAAGGAACGCAGGAAGAGTATGGTGTCGAAGGCCACTGGAAGGCAACATTGGTATTGTGATTGTGACAGTTTATACTCCGAATCATGGTGCTCTCGTTGCATCCTGAGTTTGGCTGGGGGAGTTTTTTCTCTAGAGTGAAGAGGCGTCAGCATGTAAAAGTCGTGTAGCTAGCAGGTTGAGTATGCCAGACACGTTTACAGTAGTGTGGGTGGGTGCCAAATGCTGTAGTCCGCATTGAAGGCGCGTGCGTGGCGCATCTCGAAATGATGCCTATCGCTTTACACTTTACAACTTTTTGTTGTTACATGGCCATTTCACAAGAAAACAGTGATTCAGGGCTAAGTAGAAACATTATTTCCAAGTCGATAAAGAAAAAACCGAGAACTCAAAGAATAAGAGGTTAGGAGAGGTGGTCTGTCAAGGAATGTGAGCATGCAATATTGGACACAATGTGTCAAAGTAAGTGTAGCTCTGAAACAAGCTGCTCAAGACCTGACCCCTACAAATCTGTATGGCCACCGCCTGCGTTACAATAGATGTAAAAATTATTACTTACTCGGTCCACCTCCACCGAATGGATTGAAACCCCATTGAGCTGTGACGACGTGAAGTAACACCGCATAGCAAAATGGTATCATTGCACCTGTTGCTAAAAAAGGCTTATAATAATAAACATGCTAGGGTGAC